AAATATTTTATTGCTAACAAATGTTAATATAAAAATAATATATTTATAATATAATAATATTTATTTATATAATAAATACTAATATATTATTAAAGTACTATTAATAAACTCTAACATATTAATATATTATATAATATTAAAATATTTATAATAATATATTAATTTATTAATAACATACTGGTAATAACATAATATTAACATTATTAATAAAATTATATTATATAAATAATAGTATAATAAAATATTATATTATATTAATAATAGTATAATATTATATTAATAATAAAATAACATTATTATAAAAATATTAATATAATATACAGCAATAACAAATTGATATACCAAAATAATTAAATAATTAAATATTTGAAAATAATATGTAATAAATATAATATAATATAACTCATTAAAATACAATATAATATTATAATACATTATACAATATTATATTGTATTACATTTAATACTTATAATACTATAATAATGTAAACTAAATATTATAACATTTTATTCACAATTTATTTTATTATAATTAATATATAATATATTAATAATATGTTTAATACTACTGTTATAATGGGTCAAACTAGTGTTGACCAAAAATACTTAACATGGTATTTTGAAAACATTTTAAGGTAAAAACACAATACCATGATTTTTTTTACAAAAACACAACAAGGAAACACCATGGTATCCAAACGAAGCCTTAAAGAAACAGCTTACGCCTCGTTTGGTACGCGAGAATGGACATAAGTGAGAATGGAATGGAAGAAGGAATGGAATGGATTGTATGTGGGAATGGAATGGTCATTCCCATTCTCATGTTTGGGTACTTTTGTAGAATGAGGCTAGAATGAAAATATCGTTCTCATTCCCATGTTTGGTATCACTTGTCCACAAGTGAGAATGGAATCGTATTTTCTAATAATGTCCTTATAACAACATATATTTTTAATAAGATAAAAATAAACATTAATGATAATAACTAAACAATTTTATTTATGCATAGATAAAAATAAACATTAATGATAATAACTAAACAATTTTATTTATGCATATGTTATACTAATTTCTGTGCATGTTATACTATTGCGCATGTTATCTCTCAAGTGTATGTTCTATTTATATTTTTTAAACAATACTCACTATTTCTTAGTCTTAAAAAATTAAAGAAAAATAAATAAAAGATTATCGCATCTTTCATAGGTCCAAAAAAAATATAAAGAATGATATCCACAGTTGATGCATATTGCATATGAAAAGGATGTCAGAATTACTAATGTGGAAATCAGTTGATTAATAGGGGTATAATTAAAAAATAAATAACTGATTTGATTCTCTCTTGAATGGGAATGACCATTCCCTATCTTCTCACTTGGAATGCCCATTCCCACAAAAAGTGAGAATGGTCATTCCCTAGGAATGGTCATTCCCTGGGAATGGTCATTCTCTGGGAATGGTCATTCCAACATCTAAAAAGTTGATTTGTTTGGTATGAAGGAATGAGAAGTGAGAATGCCATTCCATTCCACCCCATTCCCGCCTACCAAACGAGGCCTTAGGGTTTTATTGTTGGTCTTAAGTCTACAGTAATGTATTACTGGATTCCAATTAAATTTTTATAGGTCTGAGCATGTTTGTGAAACATGACATGCATGTTGGTGTGTGGTTCTAGCTTCTGGGCCCTGTAGCCGATATTTTTATTTATCAACTTATCAATTTGAAATCAATATGACCCGTGTTGAACCATAACCGAAACCCACTTACTCAGGTCTAATCAAGATCGCCATCCTTATTATTCCGTCTTTATTAATTGTTATGCATAATTAGGTGCTCACATATATAATGTTGAACTTGAAACTTGCAATATCTGTTTGGTGTTGGGAGTGATGTTCTGAAAGGTTACACCATCATGACAATAGTGCTTGCATCTAGATAGGTATACAATGTAGATTGTACTCTTAGATAAGTTGATGGGTAGTTTGATCAACATAGCCTTTTACTGAGGAAAGTGCCCAATTATTTTGACGTATTTAAGACTCAGATAACTAATAACTTATCTAATAAGTAGCTTCACTTCATTGCCACTTCATATTAATTTTTGACCTTTTCTGTTGGCGGAGAGGTTGAGCAACACATTTAATTAACATTAAGTTTATGTACTAGAGTAGAAGAATGAAAAGAACAAGTGTCATGCAATCAGGAGCAAAGTGCTTGCAAATACAACATCAACAAAGCCTTTGGCCACAACTTATCTAATGAGTAGCTTCAGTTTATTGCCATTCATCTTAATTTCTTTTGACCTTTTCTATTGGGGGAGAGGTTAACCAAAACATTTAAATAACATTAAGTTTATGTACTAGAATAGTAGAATAACAGGAATAAGCATCATGCAATCAGGAGCAAAGTGCTTGCAAATACAACATCAACAAAGCCTTTATCCACAACCTTTCAGGTAGGCTACGTGAGAACTGCAAGCTTATGTTGACCCACAATAGAAAAAGACTGATAAAGGAGGGTATGTCTACTAGAAAGAAAGTCACGTGCCTACCTTGTGTTTACCTGTTTGTCTACTGCATTTTTGTTCATTTCTTTAAACTAGCATTTTGGCCCGTGCCAAGCACGTGCTAGTATTTGTACTTTCCTCTCTTATTTGTTTTGGATCTTAATTTCAATGCCTACCTTCCCCTCTCATTATACTTTGTTCCGTCTCAAATGCTAATTTATACATCATATTATGCTATTACTTTCTTATTAAAATTTATTAGTACTATATTTATATATGTGTGGACACACACATCTTGAAACAATATAGTATGTATCCTAAAGAACCAATTAAAATTTAAAATACAACTTGAAGGATAATTGCTATAAGTGCATAAAAAATCTCAGTTTCACTCTTCGTTGCCTCACTTTTAAAAATAAGTAAATTAAAATAAATTTGCCACAATCATGTGAAATATGAATCCTGCTTGAAAATAGGAATTAAAAAAACTCCTAATATATAAACCCAGAGAGAATGCATAAATACATTTAAGAGGAACTTATCATAATAGAATCCATAAATGAAACACATGCCTACTTTTTGGACCCAATGGCAACTAAAAATAGGAAAAACTTCTAAAAGATCCCAACCCGATTTCATGCATATGAAAGCAAATGTTGTTCACACTTCACAATCGCCGTTCCTCTAATGGATCAACAAATTCATCAAATTCTCCAATTGCCTACATAATCATCAAATTCATTAGAAGTATGTGGAAAAAAATAATAACTACTATTGCCTACATAATAAGAAAGAAGCTATTATTGACGGTGTCAAAGAAAAACATTTAACGAACTTCCATAAAAATATGTGTATTATCAAACTATGGCTATCATATGAAGCTATTCTTACACAATAGGAATGCAAAATCTTTTCACGCTATTGCCACAAACATGAAGCAACCTTCAGAATTGACAATTTTTTTTTATTTTTTATCATGTATAATAATGATGAATATGTTTTGAAAAGGAAATGATCATATGCTCATGTACTCAAATTTTCTCGTAGTCTTAATCAAAGATGATGTCTATTTTATAAGATACATAAGACGAGTGACATATATAGATTATCATTTCTTGTGAATTTCCTCAACCACTCTCTTTGTTGTAATAAGCTCTTAACTTTAGTCGCCACAAATGAAAGACATAAATTGCAACTCTAAAGAACATGTAGTCAAAGCAAAGTCTTACCCGTCCTCTAGGAGAGTTGTTAAAAAACAAGAAACTCTTTTCTTTGGTTTCATCCTCAATACTGAACTATAATACCGAAAGCTTGATAGCAAGATCTTAAATTCTTAACATAAAAGAGACCGCCTCTACTTTTCTTAATTCATTTGTTGACATAAAGAGACCGCCTCTACTTCTCTTAATTCCCTCCACTTCTCTTAATTCACTTGTTGAGGAACATGTTGTACTTTGGGTACATTA